ACACTGAGAACACCAGCACACACACACACACACTGAGAACACCAGCACACACACACACTGAGAACACCAGCACACACACACACTGAGAACACCAGCACACACACACTGAGAACATGAGCACACACACACTGAGAACACAAGCGCACACACACACACTGAGAACACCAGCGCCCACACACTGAGAACACCAGCACACACATACTGAGAACATCAGCACACACACATTGAGAACACCAGCACATACACACTGAGAACACCAGCACATACACACTGAGAACATCAGTAAACAGCTGTCTGCTCACCTGACAACATTTCACTTGTCTGAGTACAGTTTTACTCAAAGCCAGCACATCGTTTCATTTCAATCATCTGTCAAATTTGCTTATGCTTGCGGTACTTACAGAGGGAGAAGGAAGTAGTACACAAGGCCCAGGGCAATGTCGATAATGAGGTAGACAAGCACCGCATTGTGGAAGTGGGCGTCTGGCTCCTGGTGGTACTGCAACAAACATCCAACAACACAAGAGCGAAACACAATATCTCAAATTCAGTACATATTCTACTTTCGTCTGCAACATAAAATGTACGGATCAACGCCGTGTCACGCGGTGCAGCCTAATGTCTCTTGACCTCTTTACTCTTTTTTCCCTTCCTGCATCAACCCAGAAAAAAAACAGCAAACAGGCCGACGGCACTCCTTGACTGCGATTTCCTTGCGTGCGTATGTGGCCGCGGTGCGTGGCCGCCGCGCGAAGCAGATCGAGGGCTACCTGCCTGTCGTTCGTGGCCGGCCTGCTTGTAGCGGAGGGACAGCGGCCGCAGGTCGGCGGCAGGGCGCTCGCTGCTGCGAGCTTCGACGAGTCGCCGGACGTAGCGGTTGACGCGCGAGCTAGGGTCGGCTTGCTGCAGCAGGGACGAGGAGGAGAACACCAAATGACCCCGCGGTCGCTGGGAGGAGATGCGCAACGTACGGCCCTGAAAGTGGAGACCCCACCGGGCACGGCGCCAATGAGCCAGCGTGTGAAGCGTAGGAGGGCTGCAGATGTCGCCGTCAGGCGATGGAACAAAAAAAACGAGAACTGGTCCCAAAAAACGACCGCCGAAGCGATGGATGAACGCTGCCTTGAAACAGAGTCGGAGGTGACGTCTTACCCTGTTATCGTCGCGGCCCATGATGTCGGAGAATGGGACCTCTGCGCCGAACAACTTGCGGGAATGAATGAGCTGCACCATGACGGAGCAGACCGTCTTGAAACGCATCTTTTTTGCCAGCTGCACGTTCGTCAGCTCGTCCCTTTGAAAGGCCTGGGTCAACAGAGGTTCTCGTGATGTTTATTTCCCATCTTGTACACGCAGAGAAAGAAGCAAATTAAATTTGAAATGCCTATAAAGACCGACATGCCGCGTGACAGCCAACTCAATAGTTGCACACGGAGCAAATATAGACCTTTTTTTTCTGCTCGAGTATGTAAATCATGAATAGTTCATAGCACTGCAACCCACTAACCTTGCTGCGCCGAGACGGGACGATGAAAAACGTCTCAACGTTGTTCTTGCGCAAGTAGCAGTGCCTCTCCTGCCCGTGGCCTGGCTCCACCTCATAGTCGCCCCTCAGGCCATCGAGGGTGGCCTTCGTAATGTGCACCTTCCTGGGAGGATACACCGACATCACGCGGAGCAGCCGTTGCATCGCGCACGCGCCAAGTGCTGCCGCGTGGCCTCACGTGGAGCCCACCGTTTTCAGGCACAGTAACAAAGGGATTACATTTGTCACGTCATATTACACTGTGTAACAATTTTTTTTGGTTCCTAGGTAGTAAGTGTTATTTTCTAATTGCTTATGCCTCAAAAGTACAAAAAATGGCTATTATTCCCCATAAACTTTGCTTTTGTGACCAGGACAATGATATTTAGAATTGCACCTATTTTCAATGAGAACACGGGCGAATTTGTATCTTTTCGTTCACATAAAGTCAGAAAAAAACAACATGAATTTTTTTTTACACGTATTTATACTAAAGTAATACAAAAATTACTACAAAAGATTTACAAGTGAGTATATGGAAACATCACAGCCAGTTATGACTTAAACTGGTTGATGACGTCCTTCCAATTGTAGTGTTTATAATGACGAATAAACTTCTTATGATGCCCACTGTTTATTGCAATTCTTCTCTTACACAGTCCTTAACACACAGAGGGGTATACGGTCCCCTCACCCTATACCCTAAGGAGGTACAGCCTCCGGACTTAGCGGGACCTACACACAGGTCTCTTGCTATCCTAAGGAGGTACAGCCTCCTGTCTTGGCGGGACTTACTCTCAAGTCTACCGCTATCCTAGAGTCCTCCGGCTGGGACCTAGGGGAGGCTATCTGACCCACCGCTGGCCCGGTGGGTCTTGACCACTGGATACGCCGAGCCTTAGCCCTCAGAAGGGCTGGAAGGCTGGGTCCAGGGTCCTGGCTATCTTCAGCCCGGGAGTCGGTCTTCGTGTAGGGAGAGAACTTCCCGCGCTCTGCGCGCTCACCCTTCTTATACCCGTTTGTGGCCAGGTGTAACCAATCCCACACTCCCACATGGAACTGTCTGATTGGTTCTTACCAAACTATGGCTACGATCCACTTCACCTCATCTGACTCCAACCGTTATGTACACAGAGGTAACGCTGCACTGCCCCTTTGATACCTAGTGGCAATGCAGGTTACTGAACAGTGAGTAGTTAGCACCTCTAAACAATGATTACCGTGTTCGTGAGCATAAGGCAGATCTGAAACACGGCAGGACGAACACTTCAGCCGTGGCTGATCATTGATAATTGCGGTTGGCGCACACGAAATTGATTTATCTAAGTTGAAGGTATTTCATGAAGCTATCCAAATAAACAGACGCAGACACAATTCAAACCGAGAGGATGGGTACACACTCAGCAATCACTGGAAGGACGTCATCAACCAGTTTAAGTCATAACTGGCTGTGATGTTTCCATCTTGTCACCTTCCGATGTTAGTTTTATTTTACTAAAGATGGGACAAGCAATTCCAGTCCCTACGGTGTCACCCCTGCGTTGGGCGCATCACAAGTTGTTAATTTATTCACGGTTCATGCATCTACCCTTTTCTTGCTCTCCGATCTCACATTTACATAACCATCTCTGCTTGTGCTGGCCCCAGGGCACTTGTACCCCACCCACTTCGTTCTGATACCAGGACGCTTGGGCTTCGCCCATTCTAAACCTTTAAAACAGCATGCTTTTAGTGGCTTTCCCCCCCTTTTTCCACCTGATGACGATCGCTTGTGTTGCAATCGAAGCATCATAGTTTAAAAACATATTTTTTTAACCTATCTACGTGACTTTACCGAAAGACCCAAAGAATATGAATTCCTGCAGTCACGAAATCTTCAAGTCAAGATTTAATCTCTTACACATTAGTCATAGGTGAGATAAATGCATTTTTGTAGGATGGTACAGAGGGGAAAAGAGAGCCATGAAGTTCGCTATCCCAAGAATTTGGCGGGAACCCACTGACCACTCAAGCAACTGCTACTTCTGCATGGTGGACCCTTCCAAACGTCGGACTGGCAAGAATGCACCTGCTATTACGTATCCGGACCTTCCTTCATCCATCGCCCCGGTGCTACACTGCCATGAGCTCCCTGTACCCACTCCTCCGGAGAAAGAGCAGCCATCTTTAGAAGAGAGCGAGGAAGACGTTGTAGATCCAGATGCCAATTTCAGAGGTGGAGCTGAGGAGAGAAACCCATATTACCCCAACCAAAAAGACCTCAACGATTTGATCAGAGATCTTGGTCTCAACAAGTCCAATGCTGAGCTTTTGACGTCTAGGCTGAAGCAGTGGAACTTGTTGGATGAAAGTGCAAGTCGCAGATCAGAGGAAGCGTCACCAAACTTTTTGCAGCTTCTTCACCCGTCAAGATGGGCTCTGCTTCTGCCACAATGTGACCAGTCTGTTCGAGGCAATCGGAATCGCCTGAAACCAGAATGAGTGGCGCCTCTTCATTGACAGCTCATCCAGGAGCCTCAAAGCCGTGCTGCTCCATAATGGTAACAACTGCACGTCTCTTCCCCTGGCTCACTCGGTGTACCTCAGAGGATTACAACAGCATCAAGACCTTGCTGGACGCCTTGAAGTATGACGAGTATGGCTGGGAGGTCATTGGAGACTGAAATGGTGGCATTCCTGATGGGTCTCCAAGGCGGTTTTACCAAGTTTCCCTGCTATCTTTGCCTTTGGGACTGCAGGGACACCAAGGCGCACTACCACAGGCGGGACTGGCCACAGCGGACCGAGTTCTCTGTGGGGAGGAACAACGTCAAGTGGGAGCCACTTGTGGACCCCCGGAAGGTGCTGATGCCACCACTGCACATCAAATTGGGCCTTATGAAACAATTTGTCAGAGCTGTAGATAAGGAGTCGGCAGCCTTCAAGTACCTTCAAGACTTCTTCCGTAAGCTATCTGAGGCAAAGGTCAAAGCCGGTGTCTTCGTTGGATCACAGATAAAGAAGATCCTGGAGTGCAATGAATTCCCCAAGAAGCTCACTAGTAAGGAGAAAGTGGCTTGGAACAGATTTGTCACAGTGGTTCGTGGCTTCCTGAGCAATCACAAGGTCGAAAACTATGTGGAGCTGGTTGAGACTGGTGAAGAACTACGGCACAATGGGTTGTATGATGTCCCTCAAAGTCCATATCCTTGATGCTCATCTTGATACATTCATGGAGAACATGGGAGCGTACTCGGAGGAGCAAGGCTAGCACTTTCACCAGGATATACTGGACTTTGTACGCCGCTACCAAGGACAGTATGAGAACATGATGGGATACTACATTTTGGGGCTGATTCGTGAAAGTGATTTACAGTATAATCGTAAATCTCGAAAAACTACTCACTTCTAAATCTTTTGTAGTAATTTTGTATTACTTTAGTATAAATACCTGTTAATTTTGATTCATAATCTTTCGTAGTAATTTTGTATTACTTTAGTATAAATACATGTTAATTTTGATTCATGTTGTTTTTTCTGACTTTATGTAAACGAAAAGACACAAATTCGCCCATTTTCTCATGGAAAATAGGTACATTTCTAAATATCACTGTCCTGGTCACAAAAGCAAAGTTTGTGGGGAATAATAGCCATTTTCTACATTTTTTTTAAGGCATAAGCAATTAGGAAATAACACTTACTACCCAGGAACAAAAATTGTGTCACATCGTGTTAATCGCTAATTGACCATAGACTGGTGGGGTAACACGCGACGAGTAGCCACAGCCACAGCGAAGGTATACTGGATGTGATTTGCCGGGTGCACGAATGTTATTCGATTCGCTTGACCCAGACAGACCCAGCAGAAGTTAAGCCCTGGCGCTACCTTAATCTGCATCTTGTGTGGTCCAAACTACCAACGGTGTGGTCTCATTTTCACCACCTCAATTGCATTGGCAAGTCCCGTGGACCTCCGTTTGTTTCGGTAGCATCACTTTTCAATAACTTAAAATTGGCAAAGCCTACGCTCTTTCTCAGTTTCTTGTAAAAGTCAAATGTTGTCCACATGCCTGCAATGATAATGCAAACCAGGGCCTTTTGGATCACGATCGCCAGGCTCCTTTTTTTTGGCAGGTTCGTCGAAACCACACGGCCACGTGATTCCACTCACCCTGGTAGGCCGCCCGCCTCCATGGCATTGGCGAGCGTTACGTTGTTGGACCACACGTCGTACTGCCACTTGCGCAGGCCCAGCACGCCACACAGCACGCGACCCGTGTGCAGCCCCACACGCATGTTCAACCTGACCTCCATGGCCTCCGCTACCAGGCTGCCCAGATACACACACACACACACACATGGATGAATACACAAAACAATTATCAACCTTGTATTCATACAGACCAATTGGAGGCAAGTATTGCTTGTGAGCACCTATTTAGCGTGGGACGGTGCAAAAGGCAGTGTGGTGAGACCAGTGCCATGCTCGGCCGACCTCGTCTTCCCAATGCTGATGTTTACACACGCGGTGGTCGATTCGTGTCAAGTCGACCCAGGGAATATCCACAAACACGGCAGGCTTATATAAACGGCACAGACCCATGACTTTAATTTCACATGACGAGCCTGTTTGAGTGCACTTTGTGAGGTTCAGCCTGTTGGCACTTGGGCAGAGCGATAGCGGAGGGGCAGATGAAACTACTCCCGTGCCTCATCATTTATCTGACAAACCAGGACCCGCGGCATCTGGCTTCGGATGCCACGTGATTAAGAAGCCATGCAGTGCCACAGCCAAACAGATGCGGTTCCACCCATTAAAGGGCTTTCATGGAAATACGTGGCCCAACGAGACACAGAGTGCCCAGTTCTTGTTTTGTTTCACTTTATGCAAAATGTGTGGTTTTCACAAGTATATTTTTGTAGATTTTTGTGGTACCAATTCATTTATTTTTATCCTGTTCTTTTTTTTTCTATTGTTGAACCATTAAATTGCTTCATCCTGCCGATTGCTTAACTCCCGCTACGGTTGTGAGACCCTCCATCGTAAATGGTCCCCGAAAACTATTTTCTGGTAAAGTTACGAAGTTGTACAAATATTTTTCACATTTTAAAAGAGAAGAACAAACAATCACAAAGTTTGTTTTTACAAGTTACATTTCAAAGGAAGACAACGAATTCCACAATCAAATCCTGAACGAACTAGTCAATATCATGACTCAAAACCCAAACCACCATCATCACTGGTACAAACACATGGATCTAAAACCAAAAATAACGCAAGCTGCCAGTCCTCATTTGCGTAGAGATCTAAGCACATTTTGGAATAATTAATTTTCAATCTTAAAACCAGATTTAATCACAACCCAACTCCATTATTGCTTTTTTTAATCCAATAAAATCGTATGTACCCAATAACAAACTCATCTCTGCATTGGGATGTTTGGCCAACTCTATTAACAAGTGTTTGGATTCACCTGGGAGGGATATCAGAGTACTGTGAGGGATATCGGAGTACCAACCTGCACACAGAAGGGCGATAACACCCAATGGGTCTCGTCCACCACAGATTACTTCACAAACCCACTTGCTGTACTGCCCTATCCTGGCCACCTTGCAGCACAGTGGGTAAGTGAGCATCGATCGCAGTGCACACGCAGCATTAACCAAGGTCATCCGCCAGGCTCGAACAGCAACGCCGCCGTTCGGCCCTACCGCACGCTTGCCGACGCCGGTTGGCATGGTCGATGCGAGACCCACTCGATGGTGTCGATCATGTCGAGGCCCATCTTGACGCAGCAGTGCGCGTGGTCCGCCTTGGCCAGGGCGAGTCCGGACACGCAGTAGTAGCAGTCGCCCAGGATCTTTATCCTGCGGCAGTGGTTCTCCTGCAAGGGGACCGCGACAAGGCCACCACGGCAGAGTTCTCCGGATCAATCGCTCACCCAAGCCCGGTTAAACGTCGCGATGAAACTTGCTTTCGCCGCGAACATTTGAAACCACGTCCTCACTCTCAACCGATGCGAGTGGTTGCAGATGGGCGCGCTTGAGTCGCCGGCTGCGAGTTATGCAACTCGTCTCAAGATGAACTGGTGGGCAGTGTTTTTCAGATGCAAGTTGCATTGGAAAAAATAATGAAAGTCATGATTTACAGGCTTTTGTCAATGCACTGACGGATTAAGGATTATACACACCGTGTCGGTCGTGGAGGTTGCTTGACCATACTTCCCCACACTGGTAAGTGTGGGCTGTTGAATGGGGGCAACAAGGCCAGTTCAGATGTCACTCGCCAGTAATGTTTGTCATGGACGGTAACGGAACTCAGGTTTCTAGGTTCTGAGTGCAGAGCAAACACCACTGCCCCACCGCTCCCCCCGGCTATCGTGCGAGCACTCACTAATCTAGAACCTTCCTCTTGTCCACAAAGGGTGCACTTTAAATGTGCACCCGTGCTGCTGAAATTGCCGTTTGAGTTCATTGATTTGACAGTTGAGGGGGATCGCAGGGCGATGACGTCCGACCGCGACCAAGGGAACACGCTGGAATGGAGCAGCTGAGGTGACAGGTTCGCCCTCCGAGCTCGCGAGGTCAATTACCGTGGCGAGCTCGTCGAACTTGCTAAACAGCTCGTTGAGCAGCTTGACGAGCTCCTGCGCCGTGCACTGCGACGCCATGCCGGTGAAGCCCACTATGTCAGCAAACAGGATGCTGAGGAGGAAGGACGCACGCACGCGCACGCGGGCGACGACGTAAAAAAAACCCAAGGCAATGAGATCAATAATGGCATTGGTACATTAATAGTCACCAGGTGGCACTGTGGGACAGTCGAACAAGAACCATCCGTTTTCCACGACGGTTGCAATTCCGTCAGATATATTATTTGAGAACGGCTGCGTGCAGTCGCCTTGATCAACATAATGTTAGCGGGGATGTCGTGAGGGAGAGGCATCATTTCTGCGGCATGAATGCACGCGACACTGTGGACTCTGGCTTGGGTTACTCTCTAATAAAGAGTGGAGGGAGCCAGGGAATGCCTCGCCACAAAACGGTCGCGGAGAGGGACACACAACACAAACTCAACTCAGGCGTCGCAAGGAGGAGGTTAGATAACTTGGTGTGGAGGGAACATTCCATTATTTTCCAATACGTTTCGAGTCCTGCCACTGATGTGTTAAATGGGAACACAATTGTGTCCCAATCCATTATTATTAAAGTCTTATTTATGAAAACCCTGGCTCCGTATGCTACTTTGTGCCAAGGTTTCATGTGGTTCTGTACCACCGCCTCGCACGTATGGGTGTTCTCCCACGTGTATAATCACTCAACGGACCTGGCCAAACATCCCAGAGCTCAGGCAATTGTTGCCGCTGGTTCTGGCTGCCTTCCCACTCGCCTGTGGTTTTGTTTGCACCTTTTGAATCTAAGTAAACTGTGCACGTTACAAATTGGTACCCATCAGGTTTTTTTTTTTTATTTTCATATAAAGTTCTCAAAATGTCTATTTCCTGGAAGCTTCAGGGGTAGTCGGAACATCCAGAGCCTGGCAGGGTTGAGGGGGGGGGTCTTCACCTGACGTTCTCGTGGCGCTGGATGTACACCTTGTGGAAGATGTGGTTGGGCGGCTTAAGGAAGTCCTGTCGCAGCTCAATGGCTACGTGGCGCGGCAGCAGACTCACCAGCAGCCGCTCCTGTCAGGACAAGTCCACGTCACGCTCGCCGCAGCCTGCGCGACCTTCGCTCCGAGCGCCGGCTACTGCCAAGGGTTCGCCACTCATTCCGGTTTTCCCCAGGATTTACCTCTTTACACATATATATACAACAATAAACACACACTCGCAGTTTGCAGAGCACATGCTCAAAGGCCCAAAAGGCCACGTGGCCAGCAACAAGCAGCACTGCCAAGAGTTGTAAGAGGCAAGAATGCGAAACGCGTTTCTTTCATTGAAGGTCACAAGCGGCAGGGAAATGAGACGATGGGACGACTGCTGAAGGTAGCTGATGTCCCTGTGAAATATGAAAATCTTCCCTGGAAATTAAAACTCCCGGCTTTTTGTCAGTTGTATAATAACACACTACGCAAGACAACGGGTCACATGCCACTCTCCCCTCTTTTTGGGAGATATTCTTCTTCCCAAGAGGTGTGCTGGAGTTTTGTCAGCACATGCAGGGGTGGAAGTGGGACAGAATCACTCTGGGAAAGCTTATGTGGCGAGCGCATCGAGGCAATTTTTTTATACCAAAGGTTGAGTGACGCCCATTGTAGGGCACACACTGTATAGAGGAAAGCCATGTGTTAGAGGTGATGCCTTTGTCATGATATTTTAATAATTAACAACAAAAATAAGTAGATATTGTGTATATATACTCTGTAGTAATTAAACCAATGTCTAGGTCTTCTATTGGCTGGCTGATACAGAGACGTGGCCAGGGCAGTTCAGTCAGAACACAGGAGAGTTCACACTCGCGCGTGGGAACCTTATAAGAAATAAATAAATAGATGAGCCATCTATTCCTTCCGGAACGCAGTCACAGGGGTCACATTTTCACTCCTGCCACGGCGCCCCGGGGGCCTTCAGGCCCATTTCCACCACTGAGCTGAGGAGGGTGGCCACCCTGGTGACTCTACACGCATGGCCGTTCATGCGCTCAGCTTTTCAGCAAGTCGGTTTTTGTTCTTGTTGTTTAAATCATACGACCAAACCAACGTTGATGGCCAACACAAAACTATCATCAGCAGGAGCTTGAACCGCTGCACATCAGCCTCACGACCCGATCTTGTACGATCTAGGAAGCCAAGCAGGGTATTTCGCCTGCATAGTTATTGAATTGAATGGGCCACCAGCCATGAACAGGCTGTGCGGCTACAAGGTGCCCCGCAGAGGGTCACGTGTGGCGATGTCTGTGATAGCTGCCCTTGCCTCCAAGTCTTCGCTCCCACATCTGCACTGGCCCGCAGTCGTCATACCGGCGCTGAGCAGAGTGGAGCAAATAAATCCTCACAACTCCCACGGAGTGGGATGGGAGGGCGGCTCATCTCGCAGTAGGTTAGCAAGGGGTGGTACGTATACAGAGACTTGGTGCTCTTTGATACTGCCCGTCTTTGCTTTGATTTTTCTGGGAATAGTTTATCAGATGTTCTCACATTAATGTCTATTCCCACGGCCAGCACCATGTGTATGTATGTTGAACTTCTTTTGCACCGTACATAGCCAACCTTGCTAATCGGAGGTGCGGGAGAAGGACAACAAACTAAACACAAAAAGCAGTTATAAAGAAATGAGTTTTCAATCTATATTTAAACGTGCATAGCTCCAGTGACTTCCTAATATCGAAAGGAAGAGCGTTCCAGACGGCCGCAGAGGCACATCTGAAAGCGTGCGATGCGGTTCCCGCCATACTCTTTGATTTTTTTTCGGTAAAGTCACGTAGGTAAAATAAAATAAAACAATTAAATACGACGTTTCGGAGGCAACACAAGCTTCCGTCTTCAGGTGGAACAGTCACAGCAAGATCGCTGCATCAAGTGGGGGGGCTCTGAGACACCCGAGCTTAAATACAGGTTAAGGGGGGGGGGGGGAGGAACCAAGTAGGGGACATTGATGGGGTGTGGGGCTAAGTTAATTCGTCTTTTGTTATGTTGAGGGTGCGGGGGATGCGGTGGTTCACTGCACGGGGGCAATGGAAGAAATGGAAACAAAAATGGAAAAGTTCAGAAAGAATATGCTGTGCACTTATAAGGTAGCTAAAGTTTTGACTTGGTTTATGACATATTTCCAGTGGTTGCTTAATTTAAAACCATCCTCTCGGTTGAAGTTGTGTCTATGTTTGTATATCTGGATGGCTTCATGGACAAATCTTTGGTAATAACCGGGAGGTTTGCAGAGTACTTTGGTATTGGAGAAAACAATCTCATGAGAACCCGCTGTGTTGAGACAATGATCAGCTACAGCCGACGAATTCGTTCTGCCGTGTTTCAAATCTGATTTGTGCTCGCGAATTCGGTCAGAAATATGTCGTTCCCGCCATCTTTGTTCGATGGCCAGCAGCCAAAAGCCACTGCTGCAAGGATGACCGGGGTTCGCGTGATGGTGATTTATGCACCGAGCCCTTCAGAGACGACACAGAGCCTTGTGCTGGTGAGCAACGCAGTGGTTGAGAGTTGGCACAGCATGCCCCCAAGCACCGCTTCTCTCGGGCCCTCTCGTGTTCACCACGAGAGGGCGCCGCTCTGGCTGTGTGAAACGAGTCATGTGCCACAACGAGTTGACGTGTACCGCTTTCCTGTCCACGAGGCTTGTTTTCTTTAACAAGATGACTCAATTCGCTTCAGCTAGTGTCAACTCCGCTAAACAGGCCAAAGCCCACCAGCCTCTGCCGATTGGCTCCTCATCGGCAGCGTCAACCCCGACACCCCACGCCCCCCCCCCCCGTACATCTATGGCTATCTTTGTCAACACCATGATCATCAGCCTTGATCAAGTCAATCCACTGCTGAATGAAGGACTCCACAAGCACGCCACCAGCTCTCACGATCCTGCTCTGTTTTAAACCACCATATGAGCACGTGCACACGAGGAAATGTTAACGCTCCGTCTGCCCAGTGAATGTGCTCTTGGACGAGTTCCTTTAGAACAATAAGTTGTGATGGTCAGCTGACCAAACCATCGAGATCGTCTCAGTGGCAGTAAATGGAAAACACGTGTCGTTATTTTCATGAGGACGTCCACCGAGGAAACGGAGCGATGGAATCAGTTCGCGTGCAGGCGCTCCCCTTAACAGATTCTTGCGGCCTTCATAGCTGCCCGCTTACAGCACTTGCTCCGATAATCCGTTCAGGTTACACGGGGGGGGGGGGGGGTCTTTGCATTTTATGACATCGCAAGATTGTGAGAGATTCGGGCGGCTTGGGGGATGTGGAGGATTTCATCCAGCAGTGGCTTAACCTTGACCGGAGGCGACGATTCCTACTTTAAATACATCTGCTGCGCAATTCCGCTGGTGTTGTTTTGTCGTGGCTGGGTTCACTGGGTGAGACCACCACACTCCCAACAGCAGGATAAGCTGTTGCACACCGACGAGGCGGCCTGGTAGTAGGAGGAGCCCTTGATCTCCGCCGTGCTGGCTCAGCGGCCTGACAGAGGATTAGCCACCTAAAGCCACCACGCAATTTTTTTCACGGGGGAATTTTGTTAAACAAACATGAACCCGACGCCCACCCCAAACCACCACGTAACAACTTTCTAAATTATGACCCTGCCCCTAGCAATTGCGCCAGAATTCCAATTGGGTGAGCATATACTGCGCAAGGGTGAGGCACACATGCAGGACCAACCAACCTGCCAAAAGTATTTAAATGTAGTGTTGAACTTCTTTCGCACCGTACGTAGCCAACCGTGCTAAACGGAGGTGCGGGCGTGGAAGGGGGGGGGGGGTACAACAAACTAAGCGCAAAACAGATGCACGAAGCCACTTGGACTTCTCGAGAATGGTGCCAAGCGGGCCTGGACGTGTTGCGTCGTGAAACCAGCGTGTGACCTGTGCGCGAGACGGGTGCGCGACAGGCTGAGGTCGGTGTGAGAATAATAACGGTGTGTGGATAGCCAGCGTGAGAACTGTGTGTGTGCGCATATGAGACCAGTGTGAGATTGGTTTAAGAGCGGGAACGCTGAGTAATGCGCGAGGCAAATGTGTGCGAGGCTATTGCGAGTCTGCTGTGCGCAAGACAACTGCGAGTCCGGTATGCGGGAGACCGGTGCGAGTCCGGTGGTGCGGCGCGAGCGCGGAGTACGGTGCAAGTGCAATGGTGCGGTGTGCGGTGTGCGTGGGAGTGCGGTGCACGGTGGGATCACGGTGTACAGTGCGGGTGCGGTATTCATGAGACCGGCCTGTTTCTCGTTCTCATCATCGAGCAGGAGCCGCTGCCGGACGCTCTCCCACGTGCGCCGGAACGTGCTGCGCTGCACGCGCTCTGTGAAGATGCGCACGGCTCCGCCGCAGGCGCACGCGCTCACCAGCAGCACCGCGTTCACCAGCAGCTGTTCACGCCCGTGAACAAGTGCGTGCGTGCGTGTGGGGAGAGACAGAGAACGGGGGCGAGGGTCGTGTAAGGTCACAGTCGGGATGGTGAATGTAGATGTATGCGGTTCAGTGTCCACAAAACATAATCAACCAATTAAAACTACTGAGGAACAAGCAGTTAACCATGAATTATACATATGTATATAAAGCCTGAGCTCAGGAGACACAATTGAGATGTTGCATAATGGATATGTATTTTAAGTGCCTTTGATATCGAGTTGATGTACACAGTGCGAATAGTATTTATTTTATCCAAATGAATGTCTTTGTTTGTATTAGAATCATTAGTATGCACTCAAATGCTTGGAATCCAATTCAATATATTCTGAAGCGCATCATTAATGTCTGGAAATTGTTTGCTCGTGTGGAGCTAAACAATGTAGCTCCACACGCGCAAACATATGAAGTGAATACACAACAAAAGTTACATTAAATATTAAACTATCGCCGCTCTAGATGCTCAAAATGCTGCCAATTCTGGCTCAATATACAATTTGGGAAAAATAAATGTTAAGTACGGTACAAGTTCGCGAATGACATAGGTGTTTTAAACATTAATTTAAGTGAATTACAATTAGCGTGACATTTAAAAGCAATAAAGCAGGGCCTGGGAACCTATGGTCCATGGGCCACACGCAGCCCATGAGTTAATTTCATACGGCCCATAGCACATGAGGACTAATGTGTCAAAACAGCCGGCAAACAATATCTCTCGGTCACCGCAAGCATCTTAGCCAGAGTAATCTGGTACTACAGGGACATATTTCGACCTAGGAACTATGTGTTTCTAATTTTAAATCGTTTAGTCACCTTTTGTCTTTCAGTTTGTCATGAGCAGTCGACACAAACGGTCCTCACGTGATTTATGGCAACTGCAATGTGTGGCCCGTCAATGGTATTCGAAATGTATATTGCGCGCTCAGCTAGCAACAGATTTCCCATCTCTGTTATATTGGATGAAGTGCAAACAATGTATTTAACTCGCTTCATGCAATTGACTACAGCCAGCTTACCTTGGGCCAAGCGATCACCGACACGGAGGCTGCGGTCCACGCGATCACCACCAGGTAGGCCACCGCCATTGCGATCCCTCCGAGCAGCACGGGGCGCGAGTGCGCGGGCAGCAGCGCGAGCGTCACGAACGAGACGAGCGCGCCCTGCCATGCGCCCTGCCACACGCGCACCCGAGCCTCTCCCTGCCACGGGAACGGGCAGCACGAAAGTGCGAAGGCGAACCCGAGGAGCGGGGCGAACGTCACGACGCACCGCAGCTGCGACCGATGCAGCCGCCTCCTCGTCTTGACGAGTGCCCAGAGTAAGAGGAACGCGGCGCAAGGCACGGAGCTCGAGAAGGCGGCCGCCGCCACCGTCGGCGTGGAGCTCAGTTCCAGGACGGCCACGGCGGCCGAGGCGAGAGCCAGCAATGCTAGGGCCTTGCGCGTCCCCGTCTGATCCAGTCGCAGGTTGTAGTCCTGAAAGAGGCCCTCGAGCTCGGCGCAGCCGAAGCCGTCTCCCGGGTCCAGCGCAGCGCGCACGGCCCGCGCAGCTCGGCACCACCTCCACGCCAGGCATCTGCGCGTCCCCATGCAGGAAATGTCATCCATCCACGTGCAGCAGTCGCCCCCTCCAGCCTGGTGTGGCTCAATCCGAAAGCCTGGCCGTGCTCGTCCGAGTGGCCCGGTTAGAGCCCGTCGGTGGCGAGGGTCCCCAGGAAAGCGCCATGACCTTGAGTAGCCCAGGCTCTCATCCACATCTCAGAGAACTGCTGAGCATCGGGAAGAGAGCGGCAGATGGCGGGTGGAGGGCACAGAGTGAGAAATGTGGGCACGAGGTCGGCACCTCCAGCGCACGGGAGTCACGGGGACTCATCCCATCTCGGTTGCCACGATGGGTTAATATATTTGGTGCTACAAAACATTTTCCATGATCGTGGACATCAACTTATCTGGAGTGAATTTCTTAAACAATGCCAGAGAAGTCCTTACAATGACACATTGAAAATCTGCACACAGGCATACAGAACCATCACAGCAATGGAGAAAAGATGTGAATGACAGATGGCGAATGATAGAGGACTGAGCATGGATGAAGAACCATGGAGAATGGATGACAAATCAATGAGGATGGATCACGGAGGGCAATTTGTGGATGATAGGGTACCTAGGGGCCGCACCATGGGTGGTGAGTAATCCGTCTGGTGTAGTAGAGCAGAGGCGACGTGGCCGAATATCCCAGGTCCCTGAGCACGAGGGCAACAGCTCCTGGATGATCACGACCCTTGGTGAGGCTCCTCCGGGTCTGGCACTGGCGATTGCAGAAACAGAGTGCACAGTGAGCTGTCTGGACACACGCATCATGCATAGTGTATTGCTCTAGTCTATTAGTGTATAGTGTATCCGTGTGTAGCATACGGTGTACCTGTGTGTTGTTTAGTCTACCACTGTGTATAGTGTAGCCGTGTGGAGCGTATGGTGTACAGGCTACATACGGTGTGAAAGAAGATGAAATACATACGAGCGTTCTTTCTACGACAATTCGCAATGACGAAAACTTTGAATTGAGACCCATCTGTTCACGAAACGAGTAAAATGTCCATTTTTTGAGCGGAAAACCGATCGCTAAATATGCGTGCCGTGGTGGTGGGGGGCAACAGGGTGGCCCGCATCTGTTGACCAGCTGTGCTGCGTGCCCCGCATGTCTCGTGGTGTGGAGGAGCAGGGCCTCGTGGTGGCACTCCAGTGCTTGTCAATCGTCCACCCAAACCAAATCCTGCATTCTGACCAAATCTAGCCGAGCTTCTCTCCTTAATCGGAATGGAATCTAGGGGACTTCAATATACGTACTCATTGTTTTTTTTCGGTAAAGTCACGTATGTAGAAATACCATAAAATTATATTAAAATAAAGCAATCACGACGTTTCGACCGCAACACAAGCGATCTTCATCAGGTGTAAAAAAACAAACAGCACATAGGGTGACATCAACGCAACACATAGAGAGCGTTAAACTGCTAAATACAACAAGATGAGAGACGAGAATTCAACAAACTTAAGAAAAATTTACGTGATGCAAAACCAGTCGGCCAACGACACAGACACTTGCAACACAGTTAGACACTCGCAACACAGAGAGCTTTAAACTGCACCTCCGTGCAGTTTAACGCTCTCTATGTGTTGCGTTGATATCACCCTATGTGCTATTTGTTTTTTTACACCTGATGAAGATCGCTTGTGTTGCGGTCGTAACGTCGTGATTGATTTTAATATAATTTTATGGTATTTCTACATACGTGACTTTACCGAAAAAAACAATGAGTAATTTATGCAGTCACAAAAGCTTTAATTCTTTATTATTCAATATACGTGTTGATGTCGACTCACCAGTCGCATCAGAACTTCAATCTATTTTAAGTCCCTTCGACTTCACCTAACCCATTGAGGAGGACACACTCTGGACTTGGTCTGTTCTCACGGCTTCCCAACCACCACCTTGTCTGTTACCATCTCCGATCGCAATCTAATCTGCTTTGATCTTGATCTACCCCGCCCCACTCCTCCTCTACAACACACCTACTCATTCCGTCTATTTCCCCTGCTGTGCTCAAAAGCGTTTTATCCAGTTCTCCCTTCACTCAGAAGGTGGACCTCCCAGCCGAAGAGAGTGCCGAATTATACAATTAAACACTACGCGACATTTTTAACCAACTGGCTCCACTATGAACACGCACAGCCACTGGTATACTGCCCTCCCCTTGGTACTCTTCTGAACTAAGGGAGAAAAAAAATATCCCCCGAAGGGCAGAGTGTAAGTGGAGGAAGACTAGCCTCGAAGTGCACTACCAAATCTATAAGGACCAACTCAACATTATTTCACAGGTTGGTTAAATTGTCCAAATCCACCTAGTTAGACGGTCACCTGCCACTAACTAACAACAACCCCAGGACATTGTTTTCCACTGTCCACCAGCTTTTGAGTAAGGAACATTTACCTAACCCCCCTCATCCACTGCCATTTGTAACTCCATTCAAATGTTCTTTATGAAGAAAACCTACACCATTCGATCCCACACACACACTCTTTGCCATCAATTCCCCTACTGCTGGTTGAATCCGCTACTAGGTTTACAGGCTCTCCATTGTCAGTTTTTACTCCCATCACCAACACTGAACTCATTCATTTTATTGAAGACTCCCGCCCCACTCCCTGCCAACCTGATCCCTTTCCAGCAGACTCCTCCGAGACAACTTTCTGCCACTCATCCCCTTCGTTCTCAGCATTTTTAACCAGTCTCTCAACATGGGCATCATTCCAACCAGTTTCGCAACATCTGCTCTCACACCTTTTCCAAAAAACCCTGGCTTAGATCGGGGTGATCTCTCCAACCTTCGCCCCACCTTCAATCTCTCATTTCTTTCAAAAGTCCTTGAACGTGCTGTAGAGCACCGCATAACCGCTCATTTGACATCCAGTGACCTTCTGGACCAGGCTTCCGAGCGGGCCACAGTACGGAAACAGCATTTGTTTGGGTCGTGAATGACCTCCTTCAGTTGGCTGACAAGAGACTTCTGCACTCATGCTTCTCGATCTTAGTGCTGCATTTGACTCCATCGATCATGGAATTCTTCTCCATCGTCTTGAAACTTCGATCGGAATTTCAGCACTGATTTGGCTTCACACCTTTTGAAAAACCAGAACCCAATGTTGCGCAAAATGGCTTCACATCAACCGTCGATCCAGCTCTGTAGAGTGTCCTGAAGTCCTTTGTCCTTGGACCCCTACTTTTTAATATGTACAAAAAATCATTTATTGGTACCACCTGAGGTGGCAAAGTTTAGTAATGATTTTTGTAATCCTCCATGTGTGTGGGACATATTCTGATATGATAACCTTTGCGGAGTGGCAGCTTAGTTGTAGTTACCATGACTTTTATACCCATACCCTATGACAGGCATCCGGAACAATGAAATGGGCATTATTACTGAAAAACTACCTAGACAAAAGCCAGTTAGGTCACAAACTGCTCTTGATTGGTTTAAATACACAATGAAAACACAGGATAATAAGGAATACCATAGTGAAGTAAGGAACTACTTGAATATTATAAACATTGACTTTTGCATATACTTAGTCAATGATACATGTAATCCCATATATATATTGTTAGTGATGGGTATATGTGAAGAAGGTAACATTACTGTTATCAAGCTCTGTGTGTACTTAGATGGTGTTAACAAGGGTAACCAAGTTCAGAATCATCAGACTGTGCATCAATGTATACTACCACTACCACAGTCATACCATCAGAATCACCACACTGTGTCACTCATCAAACTGCTCGTCTATCTCGTCATCTGACTCCCTGAGTTCAAAGTCAGGTTCTGGATCATCCTGCAGTTGTTGGTTACTGCAGGTCTGTAACCTGCACATGTCTGTGCATGTCAGTCTATTGACAGTCACGTGCAGCTTGGCATTTTGCATGAACGCACACACTTGCATGCTAGCAGTTCCAAGACCACATCTGGTGCGGGTGGGGAGCACATCCAGTAAATGGGCAGCTTGCCATCATAGTCTGTCCATCCATACTCAGTCGGGCTTGTCACCACAGGGTTAGCCTGCAGACAGGACTTCCAGATTGCTGCCTGATAGTTGGCTCGTTGAAAATGCATGAAGAGAGACAGTGGCAGCTGGCTGGACTCGACTTCTCGAGTCCAGCCACCTCACCAGTGCTGCTATTAGCAACATACAAGTACATGCGACAGGTGAACTGCTCAATTTTCTGGAACAGCTCATCACTCGCATTCCATGACTACCCCAGTCGACTGAAAGTCTCTTGGCAGGAAGTGTCCTTTCTCACCATCTTCAGGGCATTCAGCTTCCCTCGACCGGCGAATGCACTGACAGTGTCGCAGCCTATGAAGGCGTGTAAGCCAATTAGGCTGTCACAGATGCTGTCTCCAAGTGACCTTGCCAGTTTGCTGATATCGACAAACCGTGTGCGGTTCTGTGTACCACTATTCTGGTCGATGGAACAGATGATGTCCTTCTGGGAGCCATGACAAATTACCATGACATCAGTGTCCTCAGCTGTGATGATAACTACCTTTGAGCCCACATTTGCTGCATGCAACGCATACAGGAGCAGACGGGTGTCAGCTTCTTCGTGCTTGGAGTGCAGCTCTGCTACTTCCTCACACTCATCTTCTGTCAATTTGTAGCAGGTTTCCTCAAAAGTCATGTGCAAAACCTTGCCATGCAGCATCTCTCTGTAGAGTTGGAATTTCCACTCTTCCACCAGAAACTTGATGAGACTGGTCTTATTGGAGGGACTGCACAGGAATTTTCTCCACTGCTGGACGTGGTGTCCCACTGCGAGGCTCTTGTACTGGAGAGTGGTGTCTGCACCCCGGTTTAGTCGTTCAGCATCTTTGATCGAAGTCTGTCGGTAGACATCAAAAGCAACATCAATCCTCTCACTCTGTGCCCCCTCGTGGAGGACCTGGGCCAAGGCTGACTCTGCCACCTGTGGCAAAGGTTTTGTTGTTGCCATTCATTTTTTTGGACCAGGCTCATCCCATCAATGATGGAAGTAGATGGGATTGGGATGTCTTCTGCAGGAGACACATTCTTTTGAAGCTCTCTGGCAAGTGCAGCCTTCTTCTTTGGTTCTTTCGGTAAAGTCACGTAGAATGAGAATAAAAGAATAAATTGATAAAATAAAATAACACAATAATATTCTCATGACGTTGCTGCCACAACACAAGCGGCCTTCATCAGGTGAAGGGGACGAGACTGTCCGGAGGACAGCGCTGGAGTGAGAAAGCCACGCTGAGATCACGACCTTTAAGCCTCAACTTTAGCAACACGGATACTTTGTTGACGTCTATCTTTTCGGTGTGTGGATCCGATTTTTTGCTGGAGAGGTGATTGAATTTGGAAATCAAATTGTCCCTACATTTGGTCGACATAGTGGCAGCCGAAGAGGTAGTCATATTGTCTACATGTTCCCAATCCGATGTAGACATTTTTGCTGTCAATGTTAAGTGTGATTTGTAGAGTGTCTTGTCTAACTGATCGAGTTCGATGCGTGTAAGTCTAAGGTAATACCAACCGCATTTACACTAACCTCTGCTGTTGCAACTTCTCTCAATGCAAAACGAATTCTAGCTAGAACTAGCTTCGCTCTTATCTCGGAAAAAATCAGACTTACACGCACCGAACTCGATCAGTTAGAGAAGACACTCTACAAATCACACTTAACATTGACAGCAACAGTCTACATCGGATTGGGAACATGTAGACAATAT